AGACACCCACACACAGACACACACACACACACACGGACACCCACACGGACACCCACACGGACACCCACACAGACACAGAGACACACACAGAGACACACATACACACTGCACACACACACACACATCCACACACATTCAGACACGCACAACACACACACACAACACACAGCACACCTGCACTCATCACACACACAGCACACACGCACAGCACACGCGCTCACAGGCACACACACTCTCACTCTCGCCCTCACACTCACGCTTACACTCAAACTCAGACACCGGATCAGACACAGCTGCGCTCTTGATACACAGATCCCGACTCGAGTCGCTTTTGGTCTGAGTCCACTGCCGTCGGGCAACCAGCTGTGCCAAGGGATATCCACTGCTCTTGGCATCTTACCAAAGACTTCGGCATCCTAGGCTGATTCACACTCACTGCACACATGCACCCTTAACAGAACATTTCAAAGTTATCCAAACTGTGTGGGCAAGTGCGACCAGACAGCCAACTGCCTCAGGTTTAATGCCGGACGCAACAGACGCTCTACTCCTTCACCCGCAGCGGAAGGCAGGGGCGGGCGATGCGCGACTGCCTTTAGACTAGAGCATATTTCTCGCATGCGTGGCCAGAGGTTCCAGCGCGGGCGGCAAGGCTGGATGGAGAGTATGCTGGATGCTGGAGTGTCGTCTGCAAGTACCAAACCATTCCAAGCGGTCCAAGCGCCTGAACAGCTGCGTGAGGCACCTGCGGCATCGCCACCTCCTCCGGAGACGAACCTCCCGCCAGAGGTGCCGGCACACATCGCAGATCGAGGAAGGCTTCGTCGCTTCGTGTCTGAGGTGAAGGCCGTGGAGCGGCGCTTGCACGAGACTATGGACGAGCCAATCGCCGCAAGGAGGAAGCTCTTCAAGGCTGGCTGAGCTGTCGCCGTTTCCCCTCCTCCTAGCTTCGGTCGCTCAACTCCCAGGAGCTTCTCGTCGAGTATCACCCAGACAAGAATTCCTCAGCCCACGCAAAAGAAGTCTTCCAGCAACCTGGCTCAGAGTGTCAGGCACAGCGTCCAAACACGCCTTCCATGTCGTGAGGTATGTAAACAATGCCCGCAGCTGGTTCCTGGTTGAGACTTGAGCTCCAGACCTGGACTCTCAGCCGAAGTCCCCACAAGAGGATCTTCGGGCGAGTGGGTGAAGTTAGCGCTGATCTCAGCTGCATGCTCGAGGCTGCCCAGCCCATTGAAGCAGTTGGATTCGGCACAGTGGACAACCTCCTTATCCACTGAAGCTCTATTGCATCGATCTTCTGTACCTGTCATCGTTGCTGTGCCCGAGAATTGAATAAGCCATGTTGCAGCTCTACATTGCATCTTTTTCCGAGATCCCTCCCGATGTTGGATATCAGTCGATCTCGGTAGAGTTCGTCGTGTCTCACCAGGTGCAAGGCCCCCAATTAGCGCAAGCTCGTGCCCGGGCTTGAGCCTTGCGTCGCATGCCACATCCGCAAGCCACAGGTGTATGGCCGTGGTACCGCCTAGATCCGTCGTCGGTTAACAGCCACCTCAGCGTCAGCAAAAGGTGAGCAGTCCATGCTGCAATGACCGCGTACTGCGAGAGGTTGGGGACATCTGGCTTCTCTACATTGTGCCATAAGCTCTGGAAGTGTCGGGGTCTGCATTGAATGCCAGGAGGGCATTGGCTCAGTAGCCTATACAGGGCATGGTTTTGGCAATACCATGCAGACAGGAGTTAAGCCTGTGGGTTCTGACTGAGGAGGGTGCTGGGGGGTCAAAACAGCTCCAGAGCGCGAATCATTTCCAAGACCAACTGATCATGTGATCGGTGGAGGTTCCACGATCTGACGCAATTTTCTTTATGAAGTGAGCCTCACGCCACAGCTTGTGAACTTCAGTGTTTTCGAAAGTCCACGAGACGGACAAGTCAATAAAGAAAGTCGGGCAAGTCCCAAGCCGAGACATGGTTGACGGGACTTTTTTGATCCTAAGCTCTGGCAATTATCGCAGCTTGCTGGATGTACATAAAGCCAAAGCCTAAAGCCTGTGTGACGAAGATTCCTTTGAGAACGCATCGATCACTTCTGACAATGTGGGCTTGCAATGACAAAGCCCCCCTTTCGATGCATGCAAGGAGAGAGGGTGCCCAAGTTCAAGCAAGCTGTCAAGTTAAACGTTACAATTGTGCTTCGTTGTAACTTGATAGTGACCGCCAGATTCGGGCAGCAGAAAGTCAGAAATGCATCGAGAGCCCGTGAAGACTGAGAATGAACGTGAATAAATTGGAATCAACATGTACTTGTAACATAGATTTTGCTGAAAGATATCTGTGAGAACTAAATTCACGAATCGTGATAGCTGCCTGGCCTTGGAGGTTTCCTCTTCCTGCAACCGTGTTCTTGTCGGTTTCCCACTAGTGCGAGTGCACGAATTATTCAAGTGATAGATGCGTCGTGAATATGTATGAATGTTTCTTGGGACGCTGGAAGCCGGCTGTAGCGAAGAGTTCTCAAAGCGTTAAGTTCCGCGTGCTCACGCCAGAGCTTGAATGTCCTGCTGCGCGTCGCTGTTCGAGACTGTTTGTAGCCGGCCCGTTTGGCCTGAGCCTCAATGGTGTGACGCTGTGGCTTCACCGAGGCGCAGTCTGTGGTCATGTGATGTCATGTCGCAAAACTGGTTCGGCACAGGATAGCGAGCGAAGGCCATGAATTAGACCGTGCGATTGCAGCACGGGATCAGCTGATCCGTCAAACAGGTCACTGAAGTCGGCCGAAGTCATGGCCGGTGGCCCTGCTTCACGAGGGAAAGCGCATAAAGAGCAAGTCCTCAGGCGAGGCCACGCGAGCTGAAGCGCTTGGAGAAAGAGCTGCAGGCGCCGAAGTTGAACTGTCTGCAGCGCCAGATGCGAAAGCCAAAGCGGCTGAAAGCTGCGATCGTGGCTGTTCAGGACATTCGCGCTCTGGCGAAGGATGGAAAAGAGGCTCAGGTCTCTGCTGATTCGGCTGGGTCCTGAGGGATCGGAGATGATCGGAGCTGTCAGTGAGTCAGTCCGCGATCTGCATCGGGAAGTGCCAGGTTGACAACGACCTTACGCATTGGAAGGCTTGGCTGAAGGGCCCTGAAGGGACACCGTGCGCCAAGATCAGAAGCCCTACGTCCAGTGGCAACTTTGGCACGAATGAGAGCCTGCGGCAAACAGAGGTACTCGGGAGGACTCTTCGACATTGACATTGAGATTCCGGCAGAATATCCGCACGCCAGAGTGAATTCTTCTGGCAAGGAGTTGTGTTGCTTCTGTCCCTGCAGGTACAATCCTCCGAAGATGAAGTTTGACACGAAGATCTGGCATCCGAACATATCTTCGCAGGCTCTGGCGCAGGATCTGGCAGTGACTCGTGGTGTTTGAGTTCGAAGTGGGATTCGGCTCAAGCCTCCTGCACAAGACCGTTGGCCGGATTTGTTGGAGTCTTGCACGGATAATCACTCATCTCAATCATCTCATGTCTTATATTCGCAGATATTTCAAGATGGACTCTGTTGATGCGACAGGAGAGATCAACAAGTACCCTAAACTGAGCACATCTTGTTTCTGGTCGGCTCATCAATTCTGTAGCTATTCGTCGAATTTCTCCATGGCCATCAGCTGATGCAGGACCGTTTCACATGCCTGATGCCTGACATAACGCACACATGAGACCGCTGAAGCCTGCGGTTCCATGTACGCATGCATGCTTCGTGCAGAAGAGTACTACGCTCGTCTCTCAGCTTCTAATTAAAAGACAGTCATTACAGCCGCAACAAAACGTCGGTTTCAGGAACAAGCATTTTGACAACCATATGCTTCTGACTGAGAGCCTCGAGAGGCATTAGTTGTGAGAGCATGTCACCTCGGAGGACAAGAGAGCGGCTGATGGCTCTCGCGTCCTTCGATGGCGACTTCAGTTTTTCCCAGGAGCCGGGCCCGGACACGCAGTTCTCTCCCTGCCTTCCCTGCCTTCTGCCGCAGAAGTTTCCCTTCTGCGAGACAGGAGTCCATTGCACGGCTTGGTGACCGTGCAGGATCTTCAAAATTGACAGAGGCCTCGTCAAGAGTCACTGGCACGCGTAGCTGTCAGAGCCATACCGCATCGGCTGTGAAGGAGCAACAGTACGGAACTCAGACATTCGCGAAGCGCACGCGCCCCCCGCCAGTGCCGTGCACTTCGGGATTGACATGCACGTCGTGCCTGCAAGGAAGCAGTTGAAGCAGAGCAAAGCATTCCAGGCATCGCTTCCCATGTGCCGGTGCCAGTGAACTGCAGTCTTCTGGGATCTTGGTCAGGCGCAGCTGCGCCTCGAAGAGCTGCTGAAGGAGTACTCGGAAGAGCGTGCGGCCGCCTCAGTCTTGAGGCGCAGTGCGGCCCAATGCGAAGACCCCCGCAGAGCTGCGACGCGTACTAGGACAAGAAGCGTGTCACGCTCGACCAGTCCTTCACACCGGATGACGCTTGAGTCCAGGTTATCCCGTTGTTTTACGAATACTTCGAATACATCAGTTGCACCTCGTTGTCGACTGCACTCAGGCCGACTTCTCTGCAGCTAAAGCCTATGATTACGATCGCAGCACCAATTACTACGAGGCCTGTGGAGCAAATCCCTGTAGAGAGAAAGGCATGACCTCTGTCGCGAGATTCTCGGGATAGATGAGTATGCTCCTCTGGACGAAGTGAACCGCGCCTACAAGCGCCTTTCCCTCGCTTGGAGCTTGAGTTTCCTGGCTCGAGGAGTTGGCACAAGAGACGATGTCCTACCTTTTGAGGTGTACCACCCCGACAAGACAAAGGGGATGAGTGCGCAGCAACAGGAGGACTTGCGGGATACATGGGCAAATCTAACTCTTAATGGTTCGATGTGGATTTGTCGTTCGTTCTGCAAGATGCACAAATCCACACTGCGTACAGGCTTCTGCTGTGTCCTCATCGGGGTTAGGATTTTCGCTGTTTTTAGCCGCTTTTGATCTCGAGGACTATGAGACAATCTTCATCTCAGTGAAGAATGCTCACTTGGTCCTAGGCGGGCCTACTGTGAGCACTGCCTCTGGGAGTTCTGTTCCGCCAGAGGGGACCAGCCCACCCGGAGACAGTATGACAAGGCCAGGCCACGGGATGCCACATGCGCCGCGACTCCAAGGGTCCAAGACGTGCAATTCAGCTCTTTCCTGCTTTCTGCTTTGCAAGGATCGCGATCAAGACAGAGCCAAAGAGGTCGTCAGCGGGGTGAAGGCAACTTGAATTGCTGATCCACCTTCCTGCGTGGTGCTAGCGCATACATAATGCTTGGACTCTCCGGAAGTCTTGCGCACACATGAAACGACGCCTACTCGCAGCGAAAAACCTGAAAGCGCTGACAGCCGACAGCGATTCACGCAGTGCCTTTCATTGTTGAGTTCAAGCAAGGCCTGCGCGGGCTAACCTGTCATTGCCTTCGTAGCAGCTGATCAGAAGCCAGACTTGCCGTTCGACAATCGCCTGAGAATCGGGGCCACATGCAGTTTCCTGGAAGGCTCCTTCATCCCAGCATGTGGACCTAACGGAGGCGTCCAAGCTGTGATTCGGTCTTGTCGGCAAGTCTTCCTTGTTCTCTGCTCGCAGGTTTTAAAGCGCATCAGCGAGATGCAGAGGCAGGGTTCTCTTCTTGATCGGTTTGCCTTGTCGCTTAGAGACGGCGCGCCAGCTCTAAGCACCCACAGGCCTCCAGGCAAAGTGGTTGAGGTTGCCCTTGAACTGGAGCCTGGATCCTACTCGTTACTTGTACGAACTTTGAGTCAGCATCCTCTCATTTCAAGTGGCCGAGGCTTGAGCAGTTCTTCTACGGCACACATAAGGCCGAAATTCTCGGAGAATCGCTGATGTCCTTACGTCACGCAAGCTGAAGTGGCCATACTGGCCACAAGGGCCACAAGGTAAAGAGCACATTAATGTCATTCAGCATTGTGCCACTGCCGCCTCCTCCCGGCAGTCCCCAGCCTGTGGAAATCACCGTAGAGCCGCGCGAACCTCCCCTTTTTGCCCCTCTTCCTCCGACTCTTCCGGCCTTCAAGTCGCCACTCGCCGAGACGCGACCCCGATTAGCCAAGCATCCTCCAATCAGTCGCTACAGTGGATGATTTTGGGATGTTTTGGGGTAACGTTTCGGGCTTAAGTTTTTTTTCGGTCTCCGGCGGGCGATGACGTAGCTCATGTCTTGCAATGTGCTCCTTCGCATACCTGGCATCTATTAGAAGTCACCCGTGTTGCCAGAGGCCGTTTCCAGAGAAAGACGCATCAAGGACTTCTATGCGGGCATGATCAACCAGGAGTCGCGTTGACGTGCTGGGTTCGAGGCTTCCAAGGTTGTGCCTGTCCGTTGCCCCTCCGTTTCAGGAGCACGTGTACAGATTCCACGTTCCGCGAGGGGCACCAGATCCCTGGGAGTTGACTTTTAAGGAGCTTGGGGACTGGACTTCTCGGGCCTTTGCTACTTTCCTGGGCTGTGCGGGGCTCTACTGCAGGAGCAAGGGGACCACAATCCCGACACTAGGCCAGACACTGTGAAATTCCGCAACAAGCTTAGCAGCTCTGGTAGGTGAATGCGTCTGATGTACTGATGCTCAGCGATCATCTCATCGAGGTATCACTGCCCGTCCACATGCTGTGGTCACACGGCAGGAAGGCGACCTCCTGCGATCGGAGGCAGGGACAGAGACAGATCTAGTCTTGCCCTTCTTTCATGCTGAGTGGCTGGAGTACCTGAGTGCACCACGGCCTGTTGAGCGGGAGCAAAGACTGCAGCAGGAGATCCAGCTTTCTGCTGGATCCCTGGCGGAGGCGGGTGACATGTGCGGAATCGAAGACTCGGGTAAAAGAGAGAACAATCTAGTGCAGAAGCGCAGAGGCCTACTTCACTGCTCAAGTGCCTGCACTTCGAGGGCGCAGGCTCTGGACTAAGGGACTAGAAAGCCGACGTCGCTCGCGAACTTTGACAACCTAGAAGCCTTTCCGAAAGGCTTTTGGTATGGGGCCGCAATCCTTTCCACAGCAGTTGGAGGCGAGACAGCGGATCGCCCACCACACATGGCACAGATCCGGCGAGCTTTCCTCTTGATCGCGTAACTGCCGTGCAGGAGCCAGCCACCCTCGACGGAAACGCGGTAGGATGCTCATGCTGTGCATGTGTAAGGCTAGAGATGACCACGGGGCTTTTCACTGTGAAACCTTTGCAAACTAGGCTGGTCGTCGCTGTTCGCGGAGAGGGCATGGATGATGAGGGATGCCTTAGATTCACGTGCAAGTTCCGCTAGGGTCTTAGCATGTGTGATGTCTGCGTATTGACGGCTTCAGTTCTCGCTGGCCAAGGGGCTCCTGACATTCCAGCAGCTTTTTCATCGCAAACAGCGAGGCAGTTTCTGAAGGACAGCTTCGGCGGGCAAAAGCGGTGCGAGCACGCGAGTCATGGATCTTTGGAAGGAAATGCTCTCTGCAAGCGAGGCCGGAGTTGAATAGCGGCCTTGCGAAGAACCTTGATAAGTCATCTGGGTGGTTGTCGTAATGATCGCGTTAGTGGTGTGCTTGAGGCTCTGCCGGGAGGCATGGACGGCCAGGACCTCGGGCATGCGTGGTTTGGGATCATGCCCAGCGTGTGCGCTGACGGCTGTGAGGCGAACCTTACTGGAATAGCTTCGCACCTGTGGCGAAAGCGGCCCAAGTCGCTACAGATCCAGAATCTATTCGCCGGGCTGCCGAGGGCCAAGAAAACAGCAAGTTCGTCAAGTTGAGTGTTCCAGCTGCCAGAGTAGAGTTACTAAGATTGGAGCAGCTCTTCAAGCTATCCCTGGTGAATGGTCCTTGATTGCAAAGGGTGTTCACGCCTCGGGAGCATGCGAGTGCGCGCAATCCATCCAAGGGGCTCCTGTGTCCTTGTTGCCTTGTCTGGACAGGTCAAGCTGCTACAGCGCGGCCTCGGCACAAGCATGCCGAGTCTCCCGCAGTTTTTGCAGAGGCCATCCGCCACACATCCCCTTGCATCTCACTGCCCTTGAAAGGATCATGCACATGTATATATATATATATATATATGGCATATATATATA